GCATTGAATCTCTGCTGTGAGGTTTAAGAACACTACTGAAGTTACACCTGAATGTATTTTTGGCTAGTTTGTCCCTGTTTTCATATGCTAATGCACTTCTAGCTAGAATAGCTCTCATGCATATATTCATGCATTTCATTTTACAATCTTGCATGCTATCAAGGTCAGATTAATAGGTCTACAGTTGTACTTGTTGTTTGTTCCCATTCTCCATGAATACTTCTGCTTTTGGGTACTTCCAGTAATGCCACCCATAGCTGACTACCCTTCTGCTCTGAGGTGGCATTTCATGTACGTTTTACCCACATTTTCCTCTGTTCTAGGAGCCTCAGCAAGTAGGACTTGGCAAGCACTCTGTTTCCTGTGTGTTTATAGTCTCAAAGCCGATAAATACATTCATCAGTACTTTTCAGTTTCCTTTGCTCTTATTAATCTTTACAGGTAACTGCTGGATGAAATTACTTAACCTGCAGTGCAGGGCTCCAGACCTCTGTGTGACCCCTCACACAGGCTCTTACAACTTCAAGAAATGCCTAATGTACTCCAGTTTGAAGATCCTCTGCTCTGTGAGATGGTATCTTTATTTACTAGCCCATGTCTACAAAGTCAGTCTGAAGTCTAGCAGTTTCTCAAAGAATATCATGTAGTTTAGATGTTTTGTAGGATACTCCTACTGTACTCACAGGTTTTTTAACTTTCTAGGTTTTCTGTGTTAGTATGGATAAATTTTGCAGGAGTATATACTGTTACCTCATGACACTTAGTTTTTGGTTTTTTTTCCAATTTTTTAATGAGGTTTTCTTCATTTCCATGGGCCAACATAGCTGCTTATTCATGGAAGAAAGTGCTTTTTCATAAAAAGATTAATAATAAAATCAACAGAAGCATTACCTTCAATGAAAATGTTTTCCTGTTAAACATCAAAGCTCCATTGCTTTACCTCATTTAAGTCTTAATAAGGATTTTAAAAAAGGAAACCTGAAGAAACTATGTTATACAAAGTTAGTTACATAAATGTTATTGGGTATTCTCTTATAACTCCTTTTTTCTTCAGGTAGACTTGATACTCAGATCAAGTTGCTACTCTGTACAATTTTAAATACCAAACTGACTCAACATAGGTCCATCATAATAATAATTTTTTCACATTTTAGCCAAGAATGTTAATACTTGGTATGGTGATAGCTGTTCTGTAAGACTATCAGACTTGCTCTGAGATGTTGAAAGTGAAGAGCGGCCTGTCAGACCCTTTCCTTTTGAAAGGATGACCATGACAATTGTAAACCAGAGCTTCATTGAAAGGAAGAAGGGTTTGCAAGTTGTCTTCATGCAGAAGCTAAAACTGATGGACTTTTTTGAGGGCTTGGTTGGTTAGACCCAAGCCTGGCATGGGTTTGTGGGCCTGTCTGATCAGTGGGCTCAGAAGCTAGGCTGTCCTGCAGTCTGGGGTTTTCTGTATGTCACAAGTTCCTCCAAAGATCTTTGGGGAGGTGGTCATGCTCACAGCAACTGGACTGTCTGATCTTTGCCTTCAGTTCTTTTAAAATAAAAAAGAGGTGGTGGTCTCAGTTTGTCTCATTTTTTATCTTCGATGCAGAGCTCTTTTATGAAGCAGCATTTGTCACAGTTTTAGTATAGCATTCAGGTTCTGGATATGAGGCAAGACCAGAGGCAATGGGCACAAACTGAAATACTGGAAGGTCTGTCTGAACATTGAGAGATACTTTTTCACTGTGAGAGTGACTGAGCATAGGGACAGATTGCTCAGAGAGGTGATGGAATCTCCATCTGTGAAGACCTAAAGCCTTCTGGACATTGTATTGGCCAAGAGGCTCCAGGTGGCTCTGCTTGAGCAGGGGGGGATTGAACTAGATGCCCTTCGAAGGTGCCTTCTCTTCTCAACCACTGTGATTTTGTTGCCTCTGACCACAAGGACCATAGGCACTTCTCTGGTTCTTTGGAGTAGGTAGATGAAAAGCAGCTGATGATTAGCTTTCCTGTTTGTTATACTTGACTATACATGGCTAGGCTCAGGCAGACTGTCCCTCTGTGCGCTCTTAGATGATTGAACTTGTGAGTTGTCTCTGAGCTAGAGGGATGAGGCTAGAGATGAGCAGACTGCTTTAATCTCTGGAGCCTTTTGCAGCTTCGGTGTATTCCTTAATTCTGTAGATGAAGCTTAGCCATTTTAAACTTGAGGCCTTAACTTTTTGTTTATCTTGCTGCTTAGTGATACCTGCTTTCTTTTTCTAGAGCTAAATTCAAAGAGGAGACCTCTGTGCGTTAGATGGCTCTTGTACAGTGCTGCTCTTAGCAAGAGTAAAAATATCCACAGAAATTGTTCAACCATTCATCAGGATACTGGCAGCTTATTTGCTAAGCAGCCTCTTCTGCTTTCTGAAGCTGTTGACAAAATAATGTAACACACCTAAGGCAAATGCAAGTTACAGACCAGAGCAGACTCTGTTCCACAGCAGTGACACTCCTTGTACCCCTCCTTGCTAGTAATGCCAGTGAAATGGTGAGCTCTGTGCTCACCACTGATGATGGTGGCTCAAAAGCCTGCAAATGATCATACAGAGATTCATTACACTGTCATTGTTCTGAGATAAAAGCTATCTTTGACCAAGCTGAAAAATAGTATGCTGACAAATTAGCCAAATAAATGAGGTACATGAAATTGCAAGACTGAGTTCACAGTTTCTGTTGTGTGTGGAAGTAACAGCTGGTTGAAATAGCACCTGAAAAATGTAAGCTGGAGCAGCAGTCTGCCTGTCAGGTGCTCATGTGTCATTCACAGCAGACATTTCTAGAGGAAGCATGAACAAGAGCTGCATTTTTAGTAATAGTTGATTCTTTTTAGGTTTGCCATGGATTTCTTGTTCTTTCTGGTGGTAAAGCCAGGTAAATTTGTGCTTCAAATGTGCAGCTGAAAATCCCTCTTCTCGAAAAATGAACCTGTGGTGCTCGGCGGCAAGTGTTGTCTGTGGAAGGCAAATACCTTCTTCTTTTCTTCTGTCCACTTCATCTTTTCTTCTCTGAATGAATCATAACAGGCTGAGAACAGACACAGCATGGGCAGTGCTGGAACTGGCAGTGGCCTCTTTTCCTCCCCACAGCAGCACAGTAGGGCCGTTCAAGTTCCCAGTGCAACACCTTGAGATCTGGAGGAGCAAGAGGTGTACAGGAATGCACAAGCATTGTAGCTGGGGAGCAGAAACAAAGGGTTTAAGTGTGTGAGGCAAATAATGGGGCATAACACCCCATACACCAGTAAACCTGTACTAACAAGCTTTGTAAAGGTGACCTGAAAGCTTTGATCACCCACATGCTTATCTGTGTGTGACAAAGCACATCAGGCACCTACTCCTGCTGTCTGCCTGCAGTGCTGTTGGTGGCATCCAGCCGAAGTCTAGGAGCCTCTCTGTTGGAGGTGCTTTCCTGATCCCAGCTGTAAGACTACCTGAAGATTTTGTTCCTGCAAGTTAATCATTGACTATAAACACACTAAGCAGGCCATCATTGCAGTTCCAGAGTGGCCAGTTCCTGTCTTTCCTGTAATTTCTTCAGCATTCACTCTGTGTGTAGCTAATGGCTGAATTTCTTGACATCAATGAGTGTCAGATGAAGGAAAATGGCATCTGTTGGGTACTGGATTGCAGTTAGCTGTAGCTGCCTTATGCTGCCTGTCCTCTGCCCTTTGCTCTGGAGTTCTGTGATGTGGGAGTCACTATGGAAATGGAATTAGATGTGGCTGTCTGGCACCGCTTTGTTTTGGCAGGGTGTGCAACTTTCAGTAAAGGCATTTGAATGAACTGCTGGAAATGCCTGTTCAAAGTTTCTGCCACAGCTGAATTTCTCTATGCAAACTCTAGAAGTTCTCTTTCCTGGTAAATTGGTTTTAACAGGTCAGGGAAAAGGAAGCAATGACCGTGTAACTAGAATAATTCAGTTTAGAAGGAACCTCAGAACTAGAAGGAACCTCATTTAGTCTAGTCTACTAAGGTCTGTAAAGTCACTTTTGTGATGAATGTGTTTATAAACTTATGCTTAACATCCTTTTCACCCTCTTTGCTCTACATAATCTCTATGAAAACACCAACTTGGCAGTACCAGCCTCAGATGAGCACACTCGGTGAGGTGAATGAATGAATGCATACAGATGGTGACTGAATTACTTGCACAGAAACCTATTGCAAAAAAAATCTTCAGCCAACAGTCACATGTGCCTGCTCGTAAGAATCTATCTGTATGAACTGCAAAATGTTTTCATAGTCTAAAGGGTGCGTCAAGGTTAAGCATTTAAATTCTCTGGCTAGGTACCGTTTGTCTTGTTACTTGTGAATTTGTTTGAAAAACCTGGTCTGTAATTGCAGGACAGTATCAAAAGCAGTAGCAAGCTTGTCTCTAAGCTTTTTTTGACACAGAGGAAATGTCACCTTTGGTCAGCAGTTGGTAGTCTTCCATTTTAGCTCAAGTACAGTTTGAAGGTTAATGGTCTAGGTATTTCAAAGAGTTCTGTTTTCTTAATTTACCTTTTGTTTTTCTATTGTCCTCTTTCTCTATAGCACAAAGTTTATAATTTTTAAGGTAATTAGCTAACTGTTTGTGTGGGTGCTTTCAGCACATGACAGGAATACAGTTCTATAACTATTTTATGTAGATTTACCTACAGTTTAAATTACTTAACAGATTCAGGAAAAGCAAAGTGTCTGAAGTGACGCAGATGTCAGTGTGGCATCCTTGTTTGCCTGTTTGTGTAGAGCCCTTAAAAGGTCTGTGATTCTTGCCTGGTTGTGGCTGTGGAACTCCTTTAATGAACTGGTCAATGTAAGCTTACTGGTATGTATATAGAGATGTAACTAATGGAATGCTTATAAAAATGTGTGTCCCTACAGAGGTAAAACCTGCTTTTTCTTATAGCTTCTGTTTGTGTTACTCAAGAGCACTTACTGTAGTGATTAACTTCTACAAAATTAATTTATGTCTTACAGCTTGCCTTGAAGGGATCTAACTATGCTGGTCTGCTGGAGCGGCATCGCATTCATACAAAAAATGTGGAACATATTGTGGACAGTTTACGGTAAGAATGTATGCTGGGAATTTCAGACACAGTGCAGGTATCCATGGATCATGTAAAACAACAAAAGGAAGCTTTGTGCTACATGCTGTGATAAAGTGGCAATACCGAAAACAGGGTGATACAAATGAACAGTCATTCCTGAAACAATGATAACGTAACCTAGTTCAGTTCCATTAACTAACACACTATAGCGCTATCCTGAAAACAAATTAAAAAGATGTAAAGGATTTGTGTGAGTGTGAAATGCTTTTAAGTCAAGTACCACTGTAATTTGCCATTAATTACCTGTCAGTTTTTCTGAAGGGTGCGACATTGAGCAGTACAGGACACATTCAGACTTTTTCTGCACTTTGTAGGAGCGAGAGGATAGAAGTTCGCCTGGTTAAGCGTCGCGAGTACAACGAAGAGACCGTTCGGTGGGCAGACGCTGTTGTGTCAGCAGGAGGTACGACTTCCTGGAAGGGAAGTGTTTGTTTCAGCATGCTTTCACAGTTAAATTTTCAAAAACACTTTGCAGTGTGTGAACCATCAGGAGGTACACACATTTTGAAAACAGTGCATGACCAGTCTGGAAATATTTAATTGCCTTGTGTAAAACAGTATAAACTGGAATTTATTATAGTTTTCAAATAAAGAAGATGAAATGCTTGCTGTTGTGTGATTATATGTAGCTATCAACCCTGCTCCTTGGCTTTGTACGTGACATGGAGACTAACATACTACCTTTTCCTCCCCTTGCTTAAACTTGTTTTGCTTTCACACTTAATTCCAGTGACTGGAGTATCTAGTTGGATGGTACAGGTAAAGGTATGCAACTTCTGAGCAGCCTGTGCCACTGATTAGAGCTTTTTAATGAACCAACAGTGCAACTATCCTGATTGTTTCTTTTTAACATTGGATCTCAGAAGTTCAACTCGTGTTACTTTTGTGATTTGATGCAAATACTGCACTGTGTTGCTGCGCTCTGACATGATGTTCAGTCATCTGTGGCGTTTAGACTTGGCCACTTCTCTGCCTTTCTGCCCTCCCCACTGGTCCACTTCCCCCTTAGCTACTGGTTACCATGCAGAATGGGTAGAAATGGATATGTGTACATTCCTAAAGCATCCTGATAAACTGTAGATTTCAAAGAACTCCTCCAAGTTGGAGATTAAAGTGCCAGTTTGGCAGTGGCAACATTTGCCATGGTTGTGAGGGCAAGCAGCTGTTAAGTGATACAGAAATTTTCAGAAGTTGTATCTTGGTGCAAAGACATTCAGGTTATAGCTGTTTCACATACAGAAAATAATATTAGTATCTGAAGAAACCATTTACACTTAAAAGATTTCTGCTTCAGCAGTTTTATCTAAGACATCTTTTTCAAATATGCCTATTTGGGGCCAAATAAGATCTTTCAGTTGTGCCTTCTATGAGAACAGTTGAGATGGAACTGAAGTAATTGTTTTCATGTGATTCACAATAAAGTTTGGTAAAACTGTAAAATTTTTTTCCTATCTCCTGTGGTTTTGAATAGTCATAATTTCTAAATTGATTTTCTTAAAGAATTTCTCTTCACAGCAGATAAACATAGAGAATTTTTCATGAACTTATTTTCAAATTTGCTTCTGACAGATTCAGTTGCCTGGGCATGTAAAGCTGTTAGATAAGTCATACTTTTTTTCCAATCACATTTCTGATCTTGAATCCAGTTATCACTAGTCTGCTTTGAAAGGTGTCAGTTTTGGGGTTCCATTTTATTTTTGTGCAGCTTACCTGATTGATTGTTGATGTAAAAGCATGTAGTGGTAACGCTGCAGTACATGTGAGACTGTTCTGTTTGGGGATACTCTTCTGCTGACTGCTTACCCAACACAGAATGATATTAACAGGCAGACCAGCAGCCAAACTCCTCCCTCTGCTCCCATATCAAACACCAGAGACCCAAAGTGCAAGACA